TAGCTGATTCTACTGGCTTGGGACGGTGCGCGTGCTTGATACACCCGGACCTGCATCATGTCGTTGCACGATCAGCTGCTGGCAGACCTGGATGACCTCGAGGACGAGGAAGATGATTTGGTGCGTCCACGCCCGTCGGGCCTTCAGCATGGCACTCCCTCGCTTCTGGCACCCGTCTGCGCACAACGAACTTGGCGCTCACTTGCTCCCTGTTGGCCAACCAACCCGTCGAATGTTTGACCGAGTAGGAGGAGACTGAGGAGGGCGAGGCCGGCGTCGAGGGCGAGGATGAGGATGATGAGGTCCAAGAGCAGGACGCCATGGAGGTTGACCTACAACAGCTCAAGGATGATTCAGTCAAAAGTATTGCCAAACTAGCTGAAGGCGCACAGGTTTGCTTCGTGGTTGAGGCTTTCCCTTTGTATCCCAGTGCTCCCTGTACTATCCTCGATTGCACTGACTCGTCGTGCACCACCAAATCCCATGTCTTGCTGGTGCTTTGCAGTTGCGACGTATCTTGGAACGTATTGACCATTATCAGAGCATGCCCGAACGAACTAGTCAGTGCCTTGTGCCAAACGAAGGCATATTCTCCGCATTCCGCTCTGAGCAACCGCCTTGCTCGCAACCAAGGGTTTTTTTTCTTTCCTTTTGCTCTGCTCCAATCAACCATGTTTCGGTTTGCACACGTCTCTGTACAGCAATCATGCACGCAGCGTTTTCTCACATGTTGTTTGTATCTCTCGGCTGCACGTACGGGGCACATGTCTAGTTGTGGGGCCTGTGGAGGAGGACGAAGAGTACAAACTGATCGTCGAGGCCAACAACATCACGGCTGAAATTGACAACGAGATTGGCGTGATCCACAAGTTTGCCCGAGATCACTACGCACCCCGCTTCCCCGAACTGGAGCAGCTGGTTCAGGGTTCGCTGGATTATGCGCGGACAGTCAAATTGCTCGGAAACGAACTTGACGCCGGTCAGCCTGCCATCCATGAGACGCTGCCGCCCGCCACCGTCATGGTTGTGAGCGTCACGGCTTCAACAACCCAAGGGTACGTGGCAGCTTGATCCGTCGCTCGAGCATCGTTTTGCACAATAGGTAACATGCAGCATGCCTCATGATGACCTAACCACCCCCCACCACCCCCCCTTGTCCGTCCAGTGAGGAGCTGAGTGAAGAGGCTCTGGCTCGCGTTATCGAGGCTTGCGACTTGATGCTGCAGCTCCAGGAATCCAAGGAAAAAATCTATGCCTACGTCGAGAGCAAAATGCACTTGCTGGCTCCCAACATTACACACATCTGTGGCGTGTCAATCGCGGCCAAGCTTCTGGGTATCGCTGGCGGCTTGACTGCGCTGTCCAAAATGCCCGCCTGCAACATTTTGTTGCTCGGCAGCCAAAAGAAGGTGGCAACGGGCTTTTCAGCGGCCACCAATCTTCCCCATACCGGTCACATCTTCTACAGTGATGTTGTTCAAGGCCAGCCACCCGAAAGTCGGCGCAAGTGCGCCCGCCTCGTAGCCGGCAAGCTCGCCCTCGCCGCTCGCGTGGACGCCATGCGCGAGTCCAAGATCACGGGCGCAACTGTTGGCCTCAGTACGTACTCGCTGCTTTGAGTTGTTGCCGAAATTAAAGGGACAAGACGTGTCGCGTTATCATGCTGATTCTACGCGAAAATGTCTCTCGGCTCGTCGGCCCCTCACTCCTTTGCAACAGAGCTTCGAGAGGAGATTGAGAAAAAGATGGAGAAATTTCTCGAGCCTCCGCCGGTCAAGAACGTTAAAGCTCTGCCCAAGCCCGATGAAGCACCTCGGAAAAAGCGTGGTGGCAAGCGGTGTGTGTGGCTTGCTTTCGCCTGCTATGACAGTGTGCTAACAAAGCTGAAGCTGACGCTTGCACCCGGACTACTTTGTCGCAGCTTCCGCAAGATGCGAGACAAGTATGCCATGACGCGGGCGCGCAAGGCAGCCAATCGCATGGGCTTTGGCGAGTTGGAAGAGGATGAGTTCCAGGATGAGGCACAGGTGAACAAGGTTCTCAAGGAAAAGGGCTCTGTGCGAGTGACGGAACAGAAGCAAAAGGGTGGCGCCATTTCCAAGCGCATGCAGAAGCGGCTGCAGCAAGAGTCGGGCCTCATGACCACGTTGCGCAACTCTTCAGTTGCCGGCACGGCCTCAGTATCATTCACGCCCCTGCAGGTACGCCCACACGTCTCCTGGCCCGTATATCTCCCTTGGTGGGGGTGTTGTAATTTGTGGCTTGCAAGCTGCTGCTGCCGCCTTTCATTCTTCATCGCGACCGTTTGCTGTGTATTGTATTTGTGTAGGGCTTGGAGATTGTGACAACCCAAGCGAAAAAGGCAAAGACTGACGACGGCAAGTACTTTAGTGGTGGTATGCAGTTTGTCAATGTTCAAAAGTGATGGGTCACGGTGCAGGAATTGACAGACGCTTGTCAAAGACAACATCTCAAATCGCACGGAAGCTTGATTGGTTCAGTCTTGATTACTTGACCTGAATTGGTCTTTTCCACCCTGTATCGGAGGAAAAGGCATCACCAGGTTCTTTCATGTTGCTCATTAAAGACGGAGAAAAGAGACAAAACAGGGTGCCCAACAAAGGGCCCGAGATCAGAGGGCCAGAGGACCCGCAAGGAAACGCTGGCCACAGAAAGGTGCCAACGCCAAAACGAGACCAGAATGGCAACTTGAAGACACAGATAGAAGAATGACATTGATGGCAAAAACAGAAAAAGAAAAAAAAAATGCTCTTTGCAATAATTCAAAGGCCTGCTTTGAATCGCTAGTCAACAGGACAAGAGACGGTTTAAAAGAAGGGGGATGGGTTGGCACTTGGCGTGCAAGTGACAGGCACTTGGAGGGGAGGGCGGGGATGACGTTGAGGTTGCCAAAGTCAAACATGCGCCATTCCCACAACCGAGCGAAAACGGAAAAGGTCAACCACAACTCGATGGGATCCAATAAGGGGTATGAGATGAGGACGAAGGCTTAGGCCTGCGTGGCTGTGGCAGAGTCTTCTTCGGGCAGCGGGGTGTCGTCCACGGATGTGGAATTGATGCTACCGGCAGTCAGGCGTTGGCCAATGCTCTGACGGCCCCGATTCATGGTATTCTCCACTTGTGCGGCATCGTACTCGCGCAAGAGCATGCACTGAATCAGGAGCAGGACGAGAGCGCAGATCCAAGCGAGGAGTGCAAAGGCAAAGCCGGCGCCCAGGTTCAGTTTGCCAAAGAAGACAACGGCATTTGGGTTGCTGCCGTCATCATCATTGACTTTACTCTGCCAAGACACCCAAGTGGCCCATGCACCCAGGATCAAAATGGCTGCAAGTGTTGAGGCGGTCGGAGCAAGGCGTATATATACAAGTGAGAACGAGGCCCGGAACGGTGAGATTGGACAAGCGTGGCCTTGCAAACAAAGGCAGTTTCGCACCAGACAAAAACATCAAGGCGGAGGACCAGCCGTAGTGTGGGGTTTGACCGCGAGCATGATTGATGTTGCTGGTTTTGACGCTCATGAGGAAGAAGCAGAGCGAGATGAGGAGAAGACCTGCAATGGCCTTGCTGTTGGTGCAGAGCTTGTGGCTATCCTTGTCACCGTCCTCAGAGAGATAAGGGTTCTCGATACAGTGGCCAATACGACAATCACTGCCGCTTGGGTTGAGGCTAAAGACGTATTCACCCGATACATCGGCGCAGGCACGCCAGAGCCCAAAACGCACGTCGCCAGACACATCGTTTTCCGTTGCAGTGCCCGTGGACCAACTGTTGAGGGCGATGGCGAGAACCAAGCAGAGGATGCCAAAAGCATGTACGCCCAAGCTGAGGCTGTGGTACAAAGCCATGGTACTGTTGCGGTCAAGGCCTTGGCCAATGCCTCAGTCAGGTTGCTTCGTTCAGACTGCCGCCGTCTTCGATCCAGCTCCAGCCACACGGTCCGACGTCTATCAAGAAGAGCCAAGCCCAAGCACACGCAGCAGTGAGAGTTGACCTGTGTGTGTGTTTGTGTACTTTGGTCAAGGCGATGTGTCCGAACGCAATAAAGCAAAGCACAGCCACGATCAGTGGGGTTGGGAGGGGGGATATTCCACGAAACCAGGCATATCCCAACACTGTCGCAGCCACTGATCCATCCAGATCATGCACCGCGACGAGGCGGCTGCCATATTCATCTCCCCCCTCCGCACAGACTGTGTGTTCGTGTGCCTTACCCCTCCGTGCTCACGTGTGGTAAATTTACACGTAAATGCCTTGAGAAGTGGTGTGTAGGTGTGAAACCGCACACACATCACATAGTCCAGCGCGTCACGTTTATCCAATTTCCGTTCGTCTCCCCCAAGACTGAGAGACTCAAATCCGGATCTGAAAAGTATTTTACTTCTACCTGTGGGTATCAAGAGCTACAGCGAGAGAGAGAAAGAGAGAGAGAGAGTTGACGACGACGACGAACGAAACGGACGAGCGACCCGCTACCCGCGACCCGCGACGACGACGACTGCCTGAACAAGATGGATGACGAGACCATAAAGCAGCGGCAGGCTCGCCGCGAGCGCATTTCCTCGCTGTTGGGCGAGAAAATGCTGCAGGGCTGGTGCATGCTTGGTTCTACCTGTCCCAAATGTGGAGTAAGTTGGTGGCCCACGAGGCCGACCTCGCCCGTTGCTCGGTCTCGAGTCTGGCTGGCTTTGTGGAACTTTCTCTCTGTGTCGCCTCGCGCATTGACCTCTGCTCTGTACTCTGTGCGGTAGACGATTGAGATGCGGGACCGGGAAAAGAACGTCGTGTGCATTGCGTGTGAGATTATCGACGCCGAACAGCCGCAATCAGCTGCGGCGGCTGCGTCCACAAACAGCACAGCTGCGCCTCGCGCCGAAGAAGCAGCCGCGGCTGTGCCAGCAATGGAAGCGGCTGCCCCACCGGCACCCGTGGCCCAAGCAGCCCCTACGGCACAAACAGCCCCTGCGAGCCAACTCAATGGACACGGCATTTTTTCGATGCGCTCCAACTCGACCTCCCCTCAACCCATGCCAGAGACCCCCAATGCCCGGCCATTCTCTCTCTCGAGCAAGCGTACGTGACTGGCGGGGATTTGCTCCAGACCATAGTCGTCGACACATGCACCAAGCTAGCCCTGCGCTTCTTTTTTTTTATTCTCACTCTTCCTCTTCCTTACTCTCTGTTACCCCTCGTAGGTCCGCATGGGTTGCTTGACTCGCCCACCACGCGCAACGCCGCGGCAATGGACAGCAGCTTCTTTCGGCGCCTGCATCAGGTCAGGCCTTTGTTCACTTTAGCCTTGACAGACTACCGCATGGTGTTTCCCGCCATGACCAATTGTCTGTCTTCTCAAATCATCTCTCTTGCACTTTGCCCACCAACAAACAGTCAACGACGGGAGCTGCCACCTCTTCAGACGTTGGCGTGCCTTCATCGCGCTGGGCTAATTGGCAACCAAGCCAGAACCACCCAACGGCGCAGGATGGTCAGCATTTTGTAGATTCAACCGACATTGCGCGTGCGCAGGTCGAATCCATCAACCTTCAGGTGGAGTACTCGGTGCGCCTGGCCATCCACAGCATGAACACCAAGATGCAGCAGGCCTCTACCATGCTTGACAACGCCACATCGGCGGCCGAATCTCTGGAACTGATTCACATGATTCGCGACACAGCCACAGTCATCAGGGAGCTCTTTGCCTTCCATGGCAGCATTGTGCAGGGCATTCCCGACTTGCAGTAAACACGCACGACGTGGCTCGCAAAGGGATTTTTTTTTTGTGTGTTCGCGTGTGTGTGTGTCGGAGATGAGGTGTCCTATTGGGAAATACATTTGTGGTCAATTCTCTTTCTCTTTGCGTGAACACGCTGGCCCATCAATAAAGTTTGAGAAATTGTTGCTCGTGTCCTGACTTGCCACTCGATGTGTCAAAGCGCCAGGGCCTCTGCCTCTTCCCAAAATTAAGACTGCGACCAGCACACTTTCTCTTTGGGTCAAGTCCCTGACCGTCCATCCGAAGCATACGCGCAACGGCACATGATGCTGGCAACACGGGACCTTCGAGGTGGTCCAGACGTCAGCAGCACCGTGCATAGGGGTACCAGGAAGCAATTAGCGCTTGCCCTCGGTGCTTGAGCTCAGCGAGCTTCCTGAATATCGTGCATGCAGCCTCGATTTGGCCATCTACAACCATGTGGGGTACGGCACGCGCAACATTAACAGGCTGGAACAGGCATGCAGTCATGATCCAAGGAAAACCGGGATTGTAGCACCTCACAGGCCTACCTCTGTCCGCAGGCGTTCGGCGTTGTAGAGAATGGTGGTGACATCAATGTCCGAGGGATAATTCTGCAGCGTCTTGACGCACGCAGCAAAGTCTTCGGCCAAGATAATGTCCCCGCACAACTGAAGCACAGAACAGAGGAGTCCGGCGAAAGGGGGTGAAACAGGATGTGAGACTTGAAGACGATCCGGATATGACACAGCTTCGGCCTGAGAGGCAAAGCCCGAGAAGACAAACCTCGAGCATGGCAATGCAGACATGCAGCAGAGTGTCGAGGCGTGAGCTGGAGGCAAACAGCGTATCCCACAGTCGCATCAGATCCGGTAGCTTGAATTCTTGCGATAGCAGTAGCGTCAGCCAACGAAAGGCGTAAAACTGGGGCTTGAGGGACATGTTCTGTAGGCTCTCCGCCAGGTCGGGGCGGTGCTCAGCCAGCAGGACCTCCAAGCGTGCCATGAGCGCACCTAGGTTCGAGGCGACAGGCAGTCAAGTGTACAAGTGTATGTGCGGCGGCACCCATGTTAGGCCCAGCACATGACCAAAAAAAAGCCCAAATGTGGCGAGCACGTGTGCCTGCCATGCATCAGCCTGTCAAGCCGGGACATACCAATGCCCGTCTCAGAGTCGTCCAATGTTTTGATGAAAACGTCTCGAATTTCCGACATGAGATTGGTGAAGCAGAAGAAAGCATCTGCCTCTGCATGTTGGCTCCAGGTGAGGTCCGGATCCATGGCAAAGCAAAAGTAAATTGGACCTAGGATCTCGTTCATACCCTGGAATAGGCATTAATGGAAGTTCCAAGTCAGTGGGCAAAGGCACGGGTCCTGAACGCTTCGCACGAGTCTCGTGTAACGATGGAACCACATCTGACCTGCACGTATTTGATGCCCGGGTTGAGCTTGGCATATATAAAGAGGATGCGCTCGATGACCTCCCAATGCCGCTCGTCGCCCGAGGCAGGCTCGACCATCATGTCATTCTCCTTGCTGTTGGCCGGCACCGAACCGCATGAGGGCAGCAGACACGGCTCGAGGGTTTTGCAGACACTGGGCCTGCGGACGACAGGCTGCGGACGCACCGTTTGATAGTTTGCAGGCCATCGCGATTCGTGACAATGGTGGCTGATTCCAGGACAGCCTGCTGCACGCGATGGCTCAACGGCTCGCGAGACGCTGCACACAGAAGTGGTGTGATTAAAAATGCATGTGAGTCCACAGATAACACGCTTTCCGATCCAAACCAGGGGCCAAGCAGCATTGAATGAATGTTGACGCACGACGAGGCCGGCCAGTGGGCTGCTGAAAGAAGGAAAAGTCTGGGTTCAGCCGACGAACATCCTTGTTGATTTGTGTCAGCACCTCATTGTCGTGAAAAAAGTCATCCCTGCCCAGCGCGGTCAAAAGGTGTGGGGCATGAGCTGTTGCACTCAGTGAGCCAGCCATTGCGCCTGATACAGACGAACCACTGCCGAGCTCCCGTGTCGGTGCTCGAGGACATGACCCCAAGCGGGTCCACTTCTTGCGCCGCCTCAGTCTCATGTGACTTGATAAACTCTTCGATAAAGTCTTGGTACTGGTCCCGGGAACGCTGCAAATGTTCATCCCAGATCGCTTTGTTGCTGGGTAGATAAAACAAGAGCACCTGGGTATCACGCAGTGGACAGCGGCGTGGTCAGGCTCAGGCTCGATGCACAAGGTACTACAGCCCTCCATGCCGCTCCAAAGACCGTGGTATGACCGGACCTTCCAGCACAGGGAGCGAGCGCCCTTGATTTCGGGCACGCCACCACGACAAAAGCTCTGTAGGTGTTCAAGATCGATCTCCGACTCGGCCATCAGCTCGTGATAGTCATCGGCCCTGTGATCCCAGCCCGATGAAGAACCACAAGTCAGGTCTTTATCTTGTGAACGATGAAGAACAACAACGGGTTCAGCGCTCGCTTCCACAGTAAGCAGCATGCGGCAAAGCCAATTCATCAACCAGCTGGCAGGAGGACAGACCGTTTCTTGGCGCGGGACATGGTGGCAGTGAAGCCCAGCAGCAGGTGGGCGCACAGCCACGCAAAAACAAGGGTCTTTCACCTCAGCAAGCCACGTTCATAGAGTATACGCCCCACAGAGACTAAACTGGATCCGGGTGCCTCGTCCCTCTCTGTGTATGCCTGCGTACTCTGTCCTCTGACTGGTCTTTACCCACCAAGTGCTACGGTTCCTCCTGAAAAAAAAAATGAGCTGCTGCTGTTGTCCGACCGGTGCGCTCGCCAACTTCTAAAAAAAAAAAAAAAAAAAAAAAAGGAACCAGCACACCAAATTGTATAATTGATAGTCACCCTTCAAATTTGAATTTCTGGGTGCCAATAGTTTTGTTCTTGACTGCTTTCGAAGACTGAACCGCGTGCTCAAGAGAGAGAGAGAGAGAGAGAGAGTTTTGGAACCGCGTGACACACGAGGACGACGACGTGCATTGGTGGCGTATTGGCACCGATGCTCGCTGGCTGTGCTTGTGCATGGGCCAGGTCTGATTGTACGAGGCTGGCTGGCTGGTTGCAAGAGAAAAAAAATTATTGTGTGGTTGAGCATTTCCTCGAGAGCAGCGAATCATGTCGCGACGGGGGACGGCTGGCCCGGCAAGCGCAGCCGCTCGGGCCCGTGCGCGAAGGACGGCGGGGCGACAACAGGTTGAAGCTGCTTGGCATCAAGCTGTGGAGGAAGGCGACTCTGAAGATGAGCACATGAACCGTATTCGTGCTCGCATGGAGGCCTTTGACGAGCCCAGCAGCGACGAGAATGAAGAGCAGCCAGATATGGGTGCTGAATTGCCGAGCGATTCAGAACAGGTGACCTACGTGCAGCGTCAACAGCAAAGGTTACAGCGGCAGTCGCGGCGTCCACGTCAGGCCGTGTCCGAAGACGAGGATGAAGACGAGGACGAAGATGATACCGGCGGTGCTGATGAGACGGATGATGCCGATCAGCTTGAGAGTGAAGAGAGCGACGACGACGACGATGTGGAGGGTCTGCAGATTCAATTTGATGACGATGCAGAGGTGCAACGGTATCATGCCGCCGCAGAAGACGGCTTTCAAGCCTTGCAAGCGCTGCAAGAGGAAATGGGTCTCAAGGCGTACGTGCATTTGTCAAAGCCACTGCCACTGCCGGTGTCTTGAATGCCGTGTCCATGTGATTTTAACCATGACTTCTTCCCGTAGTTTCCGCCAGCTGAAGGCGCGTGCTGCACAGGTCTCACAGACAGCTTCCACCGGCTCTACGGGGCAACAGCCAGCCGCCAAGAAGCCACGACGTCAACGTGGCTCGAGCGCGTACGTCGGGAAAGAGGCAGATCTTCGTTTGCCCTGGTTGACCCACCTTTTGTCTTGTGTCGTTCTGTTCACTCACACTTTTTTTCCTTCGTCCTTGCTCTTCGTGTCGCTCTTGCCAACAGGCCGCAGGAGGTGTCAAGCAAACGTCGTCCTCGTGGTGTGCGCCAGGTTGTTGCCAGTTACAAGCCGGTATGTACGACGCCAGGCGCACCGCTATGCTTTGAGCGCCGCCTCATGCATGTCTCATGGCGACGAACCTTCTCACCTTTTGTTGCTGCAGCGTGCGCGCGACCCCCGGTTCGAGGCCGTGTCTGGTACCTTCCATGCTGATAAGTTTGATCGCAACTACGAGTTTTTGGAGGAAAAGCAGCAGCAGGAGCTGGACACTGTCCGCCAAGGTTGGCTCAACCCCAACGGTTCGCAACCCGTGGCAAGGAACAGCATCGCTCATAACATGTTCCACGTGTAGAATTACGACGGACCAAGGACCCCGAACGCCAGGAGCAAGTCAAGCGCTTGCTACAATCCTTGCGCAACAAACAAGCAGACCGCAAGGCCAAGCGCACGGCGCGCGAGAGGGACCATGCCCGTCGACAAGCCATGCACCAGGCCGGCCTCATTGACCAAGAGACCGGCTTGGCCAAGTATCACCTCAAGAAAAGTGTGTTTCCCTCGAGCGGCTTTGGAGATCGTGGCCATGCCGCGATTCGCAGATTCCATTTTTCTGGTCCTCCGATTCCATTCGCTCGTACCCCGCGGCCTTATACTCACGCTCCCTCTTTATTTACAGGCACGCAACGGCAGCTGGATCTGCTGGCGCAGTATGATCAACTGAAATCAAACAGCCAGCTAAACAAGGCCATGAAGACGCGGCGCAAGCACCGCGTTGCCAAGGTTCGGCTATCGGCGCCAGATGTGCATGACTCTTTACTTGCTGCCCTATGCTCACCCCGTGTCTGTCTTTCCCGTTCTCTTTCTGGTCGTGTTTTTCTGCTTCTGGTCAGCTTAAGAAGAGCTTCCCCAACAAGCGGGAGGAGTATTAGAAAAGTCGTGCAGGCTCTAGTTCTTGCGCCCCGATGGATGACCAATCGAGTTGATAGCACGATATGGTCTCAGAGCTTTGCGAGTGATGTGGCCCACACAAAGTGCTTGACATTGCCAGCTTCCGATCACACAACAAAAGTGGCAAGGATGAAAAAAAAAAGTGAATTGCACAGAGAAAAGAGGAATGTCAATAAGGGTTTTTACTGCTCTTGAGTGGCCTCGCTGCTCAGCATGCTAATCTGCAAGGGGGGAAAGACAAGCGAGAAAGGACGATGAATAGTGCAACAAAGTGAATCCAGTGCATCCCTTGCGTCGTTTTTCATGCCAAAACATACCTCAGCCTCAGGAGCATAGTCGGCCATGGCCGAGGGCAAGGGGGCGTCCGCCACTTGCTGCAGGAAGTGGTCACGCAGGGCCTGCTGGGCTGCCTCCTTCTCGGCGCGGTCCAAGCGGTAGCTGGCCGCGCTGGCCAGCATGTTCTCGCCGACGAAAACGCCAACAACAAAGGTGGGCAGATTGCTGTGACGACCGCTCTCGCGCACCACGCGTGTCTGCAGCTGCTCGCTCGAGTCACGGAGCAAGTGGCGGAGCATCAACTTTGGATGCTCCATCTTCACAAACTGGTCCAAGTCAGCCTTTCCGACACGCAGTTGCGTGAACACATTCAATTGTGCAAAAACGCACAAAAAGCGACACAGAACAACGAGTGTATGAGAAAATCATGCGAAGCGAAGACTGCCGCCAGTTGCACATACACCAGAGGCCAAAATGGCACAAGTCGCCGTGGATTGGCACGACATACCTTGGCCAGAGTATGAACGACGAAATCGCGTGCATATTGGCGCGAAGCTTGGCTTCCATGCTCGTTGTGCAATGCTCCCACAAATGCTTGGAAAGCAGTGCCCACAGCTGCGCCTTCGCGGGGGAGGTCCGAACCGTCTGCCATCATATGAAGCGTGAGCCATGAATGGACGCTTGGGTGAAACAATCAAGTGCCAGGCGATAGGGGTTTTAAAAAACACACCGACGCTCTGGCCGGTATGGAGAGCATGGTGCAGGCCCAGGTTGGAGGCAATGGTGGCCAGGTACTGTGGGCTGGTAAAGTGCTCTACAATGTCGCTGCAAGGGTTGAATCGCAAGGCTGCCATGAGGTCTGGTCGCCTAATGTCCATGTGCACATTCGTCCTTTCAAGCATTTGGAAAACAAAAAAAAGACGCACCCAAGCGCGTTCTCTGGCATGTTCGGATGAGTGTAAAATAGGTGCTCCGTGATGTGGAGAGTCAGCACGGCCTTGCCTGCCAACAAGAGCGCAAAATGCAAAGGAGCCACACCCAAAGTGAGCTAGGGTTATGCCCAAAGACATCCATGGTCTGCTCGTGGCCATCATACCAAGATGCGCGAGGCGGCGGTTGTGAATGGAACCGTTGACGGCCGTGTTGCCAAAAATCTGATGCAGGGCCTCATCGGACAACGTCTCGCCGGTGCGCGCGGCAAAGGCCTGCGCTTGGCGCAGCTCACTGTTGAAGCCCCCATAAGCAAAGGCGGAAACATAAGCTAGGCGTTGGCACTGCAATGTATTTGCCGCAGCCCAACTCGGAGGATTTAGAAAAAAAAACAACCAAGGGGACCTACTCATCCGAGAGACGGAAGGTTCCGGGCTCGATATCAACAGTAGCCTCGGCGTGTACAGCACCAGCATGCTGTCGTGCAGCCACGTGAAGTGCCCGTCCTACGAAATTGCGCGCGCGCACACACACATATAACCAGATACACGGGTCAACATGGATGCCAGCTGCCAGGGGGAAGGCAGGTTGTTCGTGCGTGCACGGCACCCATGGCCGGCTGACACTCGGCAAAAGTCGGGTCACAAGGATAAAAAAAACCAACGAGCATGGCAACAAGCTCAACATACGCAGCACAGAACGCTGAATGGCACTGGCGGCAGCTTGTCGCCCAGCAGCGGCAGACACCAGGCTTCGAAGACCACGCAGGGCCGTCATGGTGGAGGTCGGCGCTGCCATATCGGGGCTGTGACCTGGTTCTCGTGTTGTGTGCAAGTGAAAAAGAGCCACTACCAAGTGTCAACAATGTGGCGTCGTTCTTGTGCGATACTGTGATTTGCGTCACACATTGGAAGCGTTGTCAGCATATATTTTGGAGAGATGAAGTCAATTTAAGTACCACCGACAAGAAGCAACCGGACAACCGCGACCCACAGCTGTGATCGGTAGACTGCACTAATGGTGGTCCGGATCCGGGACGACGGCATTGAAGACTAATCGGCGATAACGCTGATAGGAAACCTCAGCCGGCAATTCATAAATGGTGTTTGATTTGCCGATGATCGACTCGAAAAAGTCTTCACGAGTCATGTTAGCATGAATGTTCGCAATGTCCTTGCGCGTAATCATGCCCACCAGCTAAAAGAGGCACCCACGCCGAACGACATCAAAAACCAGGTCACAAATTCATGGTGATCAGGCCGACACAAGCAAGAAAGCCAAACGTACCCGATTTTGAATGTCCACGACGGCCAGATGCCGCAGCCCCATGGTGCGAAAGAGGTGAAAGATGCGCGACAGCGAGCTGCGCAGCCACCGCAATTGCACGTCATGAGCGTACACTCCCGCTCGACAAATCGACTGCTGCAGAATCGCTTATGGAGCATGCCCAAGAGGCAAAGCAACCCTTACTTGTTCCACCGCACGGAATAAGGCGACTTGTTGTAGTAAGCCTCTATATCCAAAAACTTTTCTCGGTCACCCTGCACGACATCATTACAGGAAGCACGGTCAATGATGCAAGAAGATGCGGTGTGACCACACCAAGAAAGGTGGCAGAGCGTTTGCGATTCCGAAGAAATAAGGGGGCATGTTTGCCGTCGCACTTACCGCGCTTACACGCAGGGAGCTAGCGGTCGGCCAGCGGGGGTAGTACTTGCGAATTTCCTGTACCGTCTGCGGCGACAATGTAGCCTTTGAGCCCGGTACGAGCGCCGCAGCATACATGCTAATGCTGCGCGTACACGGGCAGGAGCGCTACGCACCAGTTTTCTGCCTTTGATCGAATTGCGCAGTTTGGGGCCATAGGCCTTCTCCTTGAGCAGGACGATCAGAGTCGAGCGCAGGACTTGACCCTCAAAGATGCCCAGCTGTGTATCATCGCCATCAGGCCTGGACCAAAAAATAGACCACACCAGATGCACCATGCGCATGTCAGCATTGATCTGTCAGCATTGATCAACGGCATGGCACCAGAACCTGCAAGAAGAGCGGGCAGCCCGTCTTACCAGGAGATGACGGGAAATGCGTTGTGCTTGCTCTCCTTCAGCAAGTCGACAATGTGGCCAACCTAAACGGCGCGGTGCGTCATGCGCAGCGCACAAAATGAACAGTGAGGGCAGCACGTTAGCCCTGCCACGCTGCTGGGCAGTCTACTGCACACTAATGAGAGCGAAGCAAGCATCGCACGGTCACACACACCTTTTCATGCAGCCGCACGCATTGAATCTTGCGGGTCATGATGTCCGAGGCAGTCAGGTGGTAACGAGAAACCACCGGAGGCTCCCAAGGTAGAAGCGGGATATGCTTCAACTCAATGTGCATGTCATAGATGCCCTCATTGAAACGGTCACCAACCCACTTTGCCACAATGACAGCAATGATAATTGGCAGACCGTAGGAAACATTACCGGTGGCCTCGATCACAATGACCGTCAGCGAGATGGTCATGCGTACCACACCGCCCAAATTGGCCGCCGCCCCGATCAGGGAATACTTGCCTGGCTGTGGTGTGAAAGCAATTCAACAAAAGACACATCAGAGCCAGCCTCAGTTGACTCGAGCCAGGACATCTCAGTTCACAAAGAGCGATCATTGGCAAGGGTGTACCCCACTCACGTTGGTCCAGGCGCGCCCAGGAAAGATGGCGGTCAGGATGGTACCAGCCAGGCGACCCCATGCTGCGCCTATGAACAGGTGACGGTTTGCCGTCGACACAAAAACATCCAAGCACAAATGACGTCGATGTGTGTATGCGTGTCGAGCAGCGCAGGCAATGGAGAGAAGCTGTGCCACATAACGTTGACATACCCGTCAATAGCGTGGGCACAAAGAGGCCAGAGGGAATGGCCAGACCGTAGGTCATGCAGCCCAAAAGCCAATAGGCAAGTGCAAACAGGGCCAGAGTTTCATAGTTGTAGCTACCAATCTCCGCTGCAAGCCGGGGACCAGAGGAGGGGTTCGAGTCAGGCCAAAACGCCAAAGCAAAATTCGGCGTGTGCAGACCAAACTTGCCGTGGAAGAGGTTTTTGATGCTGTCTTCAGGCGTATTGAAAAAGAGTGAGGCCATGGCGCTGTACTGATGGTCAGCGCAGAAGAATTGCAGCGGCGAACTGCTTTCAGGTGATTCGCCCATTGGCAGGCAGTCCTATGGTAAACGGGCGCCATGGTCAACCCTGGGGCTGGCGTCTCCAAGCCCAAGAGGAAACCAGACTACTTGCACATACCGCCGAAAAGAAGATCATGCTAAAAGCGACAGCAACAGTGATGGCAGCAATGGCGCTCACTTCAAGCAGCCTGATTGAACGGATGAAGCAAAGCGGTGGGTGGACATGAGTCGAGTGCGTCAGATAGATGACTACTGGGCTGCGCCAATTGCAAACGCACTTGAGCTTGCGGCTAGTGATAAACTTCATGCGAAAGCGGGTTAGATAGAGGTTGAGGCCGTTAAAGGCGGCGCCGGAGAGGCCACCAATCAAACCCATCAACATAAAAATAGGAATTTCCGCAATGGTATAGGGCATGGTGTCAAACTGTCCGAAGTTAAGCAAGCCTGGATTGCTCAGCGCACCTGTTCATGTCCGAAAGGATAGTAGTTGTTAGAGCGAGCGGAAAAGGGCCGGGAGATACACTTGCCAGAAAGATCTGCTACGATGTGGCCATAGCCAACAATCGCGGCGCATGAGCTTTGGTCACATACCCCAATCACCACCCTTGACACCCGATAGCAAAAAGTTGAGTGTAAAGGTTGCGGTCATGGACGCGAAGAAAATGCGCCAAGTCAGCAATTGGTTCCAAAAGGAAGAGCCCTGGTTTCAGCGCACGCGCGTCCAAAACGGTGCAAGTGAGGCTGGGCATAGCACGATTGCGATGTTGTGAGCTTGCTAATACGCACCTCTTCGAGACTAAACAGTACGCCACCAATAGGAGCACCAAAGGCGGCGCTCACACCGGCTGCTGCACCACCCGACACAAAATCCTGTGCATCCACCAGCAACGGCCGGTCAAGGCAACAATGCGACGTGAAAAAGACGATTGCCAAAACTCGGAAGCTCGTAATGAGGTGCGTCGGGTACATACACGCTTGTCAACGTCGTTGCGAAAGGCTGAGAACCAGCTGGTATGCAAGCTGCTGATGCTTGTGGATTTGCCCTGGGAGATTCCGGCGGCCACAACTGCACCGGAATGGATCATCGGGCCCTCCTTGCCTGCAAGATCACGATTGTGAAAGTGCGGGTACAGGGGAGAGGCTGAGACGCGGCCTTTACGACGACGGTGCCAAAACTCAAAAGGGACGTGGAACTGCATGACGCACCGACAGCCATGCCACCCACGACGGCGCACATGACACCTGATGGCAAAAGACAGATGGTGAGCACAGTGTGGGGTGGTATTGTTGCCAGGGCAATGCAAGCCGAGTGAATTGCACGGCATGCTTTATCAAACACCCACCAAAGCCTTTGACAAGCAGGGTCTTGAGCCGAACCACTTCGGGCATCTTGATGCCGTTCAGAAAGCATTTGATCTACAAACGTTGCGTCGAGTCGAGATGAGGCAACGCGCCTGCACTCTGGATGCTGGATGGGCGGGGAAGCCGTGCAGTGCGTCTGCTCGTTTGAATATATTGAAGCGTGAAAGGTCTGACCTCTGAGATACCGCTGCCCTGGGCGACTGGAGCATAATAAACGGTGAGGGCACCGGCCAGGGTGACGAGAGCGACGTCGGTGGCAATCCAGAGAAAGAAGGAAGAGACAAGGCAGTCGTGCTGGACGCAGTGCTCAATGTTGTTGGCGAGCCAGCGAAACTTGAGGCCAGATAGCTTGAGAATGGCCATATCAATGGAGCAAGCAATGCCGGCGGTGATGACGCCAATGACAAAGTACAAGGCCCAGCGCTGGGCAATATGAAAGTTGTTTTGCTGTTCTGTTTCCTTGCGTCGCAAGGCCTGCTCAATCTCCGATTCGGTTTCCTCGTAGTCGAGGCCTTCATAGACGGCCTGCTGTTTAAAATGGCGTTTGGTGGGTGGCAACACGTGGCCAAAGGCGCCTCTGATGCGGGACCAGACCGTGGCCTTTTGGTCGTGTGCGAAGGGCCGGCTCTCGCTGTCAAGCATGAGCTCATCGGAGACGCTGACGTGACGCATCTGCTGCTGCCGGCGGCGCCAAATGCCGTCCTCATGCTCGTACGTTTGCCCGACCGTGCCATAGCCAGGGCCCGCCCGGCCCAAGCCCTGGGTGGGCATGTCAGAGTCGAATCGGGATGTCATGGCAAAGTAGAAGCAGGACACCAAGATGGGTCGCACGCGTGTGCCCCCCCCTTGGCCTAGATCGTTGTCACCGGGCTAGACACCACCACCCATGCTCCGAGCACCGACGTACAGCCTACACACACGCCAATGCCGTACTCTCCACCTACAACCGCGAGCCGGAACGAAGCGGGCAAGCGCCAGCCGAAGCGAAGAGCAAACAAACAACTCGTGTATCAGCAATGCCTCCGAATTTTTGCAACTCATTCCTCTACAACCCTTTTCACTCCCACCCACAGACAAACCAACCCCCTCTCGCCCAGTCCACCTTGGCCAACCAGTCTCCCAGCCAGTCTCCCACCCCTACGAGCCACCACCACCACCGCCACCAACACCAACCTCGAGGCAGATGCCACCCAAGTCCAAGATGAGAAGCGAGAGAGAGAGAAGAGAGTTGACATGTGCTGTGCGTGCTGGAAACTCTCTATTTCTCTCTCAAACTCTCTCAAACCCTCTCAAACTCTCTCAAACTCTCTCAAACTCTCTCAAACTCTCTCAAACTCTCTTAAACTCGCTCTCTCTCTCAAACTCTCTCTCTCAAACTCGCTCTCTCTCAACACATGCGTTATCATCCTGTAACAACAAACTGGAGAAATGTCAGACAGAATAAGGACGTTAACCGTTTGAGTTCAAGAAGGTTTTTTGTTTTTGGCGGGAAATTCACTTGTTGGATGTTGTCGGTGGATGTTGCATTTGCTTCGTCGGGCTGGACGGATTTCTAGATGGAATAGCTGGCTCAGGGGGCTGGAGGTACGGCAGCAGAAGTCTGGTAGCTTTGAGACGCTGAAGTTTGGGGACGCGAGTCAAGGATCACAGAGGTAATGTCTGCATGGACCTCTTGGGCCTGACGATTGTTTTTCAATTCCCTCTCATGGAAGATGATGTGACCGCTCGTTGACTCAGACTCATCGCCATTCTGGCTGCAAGGCGCCTGCTTGGAGCGGTGGGTGGCCCGGCTGTGGCCTCGGCGTGCGAGTGGGCTGCATCAAGACCAGCACTTGCGACCAAGGCACTTGCCTCGGTTTGGCAAACCCCACGAGTGGCCACGCTCTGGACGTCGCGGGCTGCGACCAACGCTCGCCTTGATCACTCACGCCAGAGCCTTGCCGGTGCCGCCCTTGTCTCCCGCCCCACCATCATCATGAGTGACGACCCGGTCGTGCTGAAACGGCGCATCGCTTTGCTGGTGCAAGAAAACGAGATTCTTCGTGCTCGCCTTGCCACCTACGAAGGCGCGGCAGACGACACCACCGCCAGCAGCGCGCCCGCCAAGCGACCCAAGGTCGATACCCAGGCCACGCGCGAGGCATTTGACAACCAAGACGCGCTGCTTGATGACGAGGATAATCCCTACTTTCCTCTCTCCAATAACAAACGCGTCACCGTCAGCCGTTTCAAGGCCTTTACCCTCATCCGTCTGGGCGAAGTTTACAACGATAATGGCAAAACCAAGCAGGGCAAGGGCATCAGCCTCAAGGTTCGCCCCCCCCGCAAGTTGCCAGCCAACTCGGTAACTGGTGCAAGAGAGCAGGACACATGGCATTTTGAACTCAAACCATGCCTTTGCACACGCCCTATTTGCAGGCTAGCGAGTGGGAAACGCTCAAGGAAATCAGCGAAAGCGCGGAAAAGGCGTTTGCCGAGAACAACAAAGACTTTACCGCCAGTGCGTGTCTCGCCTCGACCTCGGTTCCATGGCGCGCGATAGTAGTCGAATGTCTCAGCACTGGATGCCATTTTGTGGGCTATGCGTAGGCCTCGGAGAAACGCGCAATGGCCTTCGCAGATTGACCATTAGCGACTTTCGCGACAAGCTTTATTGTAAGAACATACCCATGCCTACCACGGAAACAGAACCCCGTTCCGCCCCATTCTCATTGACTTGGCTTCCATTCAAGTTTCTTATGCGACTGCTGTGCCCTGGTCTACCCGCGTTTGCTCGGTTTAGATAACATTCGCGAATTCTACAAAGACCGCTCCGATGAATGGAAACCCAGTACGTGGCCATGGTTTCATCTTTCTTCGGCTCCACCGTAGCAATGCAAGATTCTCACTCGTGCACGCAACCCCGCTTGTTTTTTTTTTTATGTTTTTCCCACCCTCCGTAGCCAAGAAAGGTTGCATGTTGACTGAAGACCAGTGGAGCAAGCTCATGGACGTTGTGCCGGCGCTGGATGCCGCCATTGCAGAGTTGTCCGAAAAGTGATGACCCTTCTACCATCGCCCCTGAAAGCTTCAACAAAGCCATTGATGCCAAACGCGTTTCGTTTTTTTTTTTTTTGTTTTGTTTTTTTTTTTTTTTGCGTTTGTTTGTTGACCTTTGTCTTGTGGCTTCTCAAAGTCGATTCGTTGCTGCAGCGACGCTGTGCCTGTCATGAACGAACTGCGCGATAAACCTGCACAGTTGGACGGAATTGTCCAAGCAGGTCGGGCTGGCCATACACCGAACCTCTGGAACAAGTGGGAGTAAGCAAAGAGAGAAAAACCTGCGCGTGGCGCGGCTGTAAAGACTGAAGGTCTGGCAAGGGAAGATACAAGAAATGCACGAGAAAGGAAAAAAAAAAAAAAGGAAAGAAAGAGGATAACCACAGGACAATCAAGAAACAGTGCGAGTACAAGTACAGCAGCAAAAGAGGGGGCCCCTATAGTTTCAGAGCTGGTCGCATGGGTCGAGTTTCACCAACAAAAACGCCTCACGAAGTGGGTACGTTGCGCGCAACGCCAGCCTCCTCAAGCATGTCGTCGAGCTCGCCTATCGAAAAGAAAACAACGCGCAGCGCAGTACAGTGAGCCAAACAGGTTGACCAGCTGACGCATGAGCTGACATATGAGAGGTTGGAACATGCATACCGTTCTGGTGCATTTCGATCATGAGGTCACAGCCGCCAACAAACTCGCCATTGATGAACACTTGAGGAATGGTGGGCCACTCTCTGCGGACAGACCCGGGACGCCCAGCACGTGAAAAAAAAAAAATGGAAAGAAAAATATGGCTTTGGAAGAAGCTAAGATGACGTGCGCATGCTTTCAGAACAAGATAAAAGCAGGCAACATACGAGTATTCCTTGATGCCCTGACGAATCTCCTCGTCGCTCAGCACGTTGAAGAAGGGGACCTTCTCGGCCTCAACACCTGCAAGGCAAACAAACGATGGTCAATCAACTTGCTTCGCGATAATGTGGCGACTTAAATTCAAGGGATATGAGGTGAGCGAAGAAAGGCCGAGAAGACGGTGCGGGGTAGCACAACAAACCATGGATCTCGAGGACCTGAATGACGGCCTTGCTGAAGCCGCACATGGGCATGGACGGCTCGCCCTTCATAAAGACAAAGAGCTTCTCCTTCTGCACCAGCTGCGCGACCAAGACGCAACGGCAAGGCCAATTGCACACACGCAACGTTTGGGGCGGCAAGCGTGACCGGGAGTCAGCGGCTATGGCTGAGCAGAGCAGGGTTGAGGCATACAAGTGACATACGTCATCAATGCGGTTCTTGACTGCGGCGTCCAGAGCATAGCAGCGTGCCTGCGCCAGACTAAAGTCAGGTCGAAGAACATCCAAGGTGTGAGCAGCACGAACAACAAGACCGAGAGCTGGCATCGAGTCGGCAATAACGCAGCAGGGTCCAGACGCACCGGCTGGCGGCGAGCACTGCCAGGTTGGGGCGGAGCGCGCTGACCGAGGCGCGCATGAAGTGAGCCAGCGTCTGCGGAGCGGTCGTGGTAATGTGCCAGTTTGGTGAGTCATGATTGCAGGCTGCTGTCAGAAAGCGGCGCAGCAAGCGGCGGAGGACCCAGAGACGTCGCAGCAAAGGCATGTATCCGCACCATGGTGTCGTGTGTCGGTGTCGAGCGTTCTAAGAAAAGCTATGCTTGACAGCTGAGTGATAGCATACATGGCGTGCCACAATGAGGATCAAACTGGGAAAACGGCAGCCAACGGGCCCATGCATTCAGGAGAAGAGGCTTTGGGCAGATCAGATCAGAGCACCGCGTCGTGACTTGACGTGGACCGCGAGGCCAAGAGGCATCATGCCTTGAGCACCCGCGTCCCCCTGCATACGACTGCTCAACTCCTCAACGCCGCCAGCCCCACCCTTCATCCACCTTTGCCCCAACATGTCTACTGGCTCCACCACAACCGCATAGCATAGATCGACCGCCAACTTCCCGACTACGACCGAACGACGAACGACATACCGGCGCAGAGCGAGAGAGAGAGCGAGAGAAAGAGAAAAAAAAGCGAAAAATAAAGTTCAGTGTGTGTGTGTGTGTGTGTGTGTGTGTGTGTGTGTGTGTGTGTGTGTGTGTGTGTGTGTGTGTGTGTGTGTGTGTGTGTGTGTGTGTGTGTGTGTGTGTGTGTGTGTGTGTGTGTGTGTGTGTGTGTGTGTGTGTGTGTGTGTGTGTGTGTGTGTGTGTGTGTGTTGGCAGTGAATGATGTCATGTGTCAACTTGCTAATAGCAGTAGTAGTACATCGCGTGCATTCGTCTAATCGGCTTTATGGCACGTATGGCAGTATGCTGGCTGCGTGGGGCTCGGAAGCGAGTTTGATGGCAGGGTCTGATGCGCCTCCAGCTGGCTGGCGCTGCCCCTTTTGGACGAGTGAACTTGCACTTTGGGCCTTGCTCACACAATGTGGTGGAGCGTGCAACACAGCTGGCGAAATTTTTGAATTGCAACCGTGCTGTTTGGCATCATCATGTACGCAGCCCTTCTCGCCCTCAAACGGGACCAAATTTCGACAACGGGGACGTGGATGGATAGCGCCAAGACGTCTCCATCGACTGCTTATACTCTGACCGCCCCTTCCCCACGCCCTCGCGCACTGCCGCTGCCATTTCTACCTCTTGAAGAAAGACACACACAGATTCAGTGACAGCCACAACGTTCGAACCGGCTCCACATGCGAGAACGCACTACCACACCCAAGCGTTCAAACCCAATGGCTGGCACGTGTACTTTTACCACACCTTTACATGCGCTCTGTCCACAATTGGTGTCGTATCTTAATGTTGTCGTTGAAGATTTGTCATCCTTTTTGAATATCTGACATTGCAGCCCCCCGCCAGTCTACCTACCTCTTGTGGTAGTTTTTATTATGTTTCAATGCGAGGTATATCTGGAACAGTTTAAACTTTTCCGAGTCATGTCCTTGTTGTTATTTGCGCCGCTGCCGTGCTTGACACTGTTGCTGCGCAGCTTTTGGGCAGATGCTTGCAGGATCGCCGTGCTGTTGGGGAAGGGGGGTGCGGAAAGATACCAGCAAGGAGAACGACGAGCCGGTCTGGGCGTAGTCAGTTCCACAGGTTGACGTCGGCTCGCGGAAGAACGACAGAATCTACGATCGAGGATGGAGGCCTTGGCGGGAACGGCACCGGTGGTGCAGGCCGCTGCTGGGACCCTCTTTACCTGGGGCGTGACGGCAGCCGGGGCGGCCCTGGTCTACGTGGCCATGCCCAGTCAGCTTTTTCTAGACACCTGTCTTGGCTTTGCTGCCGGTGCGTGAGCAAACTAAAACGCTTCTGCTGCGCGCGCGAACCTGGCTCAGATTGCCTCGTTGTCACTCCTGCACAGGTGTCATGCTGGCGGCTTCGTACTGGTCACTTCTGGCGCCATCCATCGAAATGGCCGAGAGCAGTGGGAGCTATGGACAGGTCGACGGCGTGCCTTTTCTATCCGCTCATTTCGCCTCGCCCATCTGTTCACAACACCAGTCGGAAGCTCACGCCATGTGGGCCAAATGCGTAGAACGGTGAACTGGCTTTCTTCCCGGCAGCCGTCGGCTTTGTCCTGGGCTGCGTCTTTGTTTATGGATCAGAAGCGCTTCTTCCGCTTCTGGGTATGGACGGAGATGTCCATGAGCTGATTGCACACAAGAAAACCGATGGCGATGCCCTTACACGTGAGCAGCTCTGTCTTTGTCTACTGCCGCCCTGGTTTCTTATTCCAGCTTGCCCGGTGACGTGGTTGTAAACTTTTAGTTCGCATCTCATTGGATCTCGTATGGCCGGAATCAACTTGCATAGGCGAGATTCGTAGCTCGCGTTCCAATCGCCTCTCCGTTTCGGAGAGCCAGCCCATCGCCCCTACACCAAAGCAGGTAGGACGTTACGTTCGCAGTGCGACCTGGCACATCCGTCCTTGTTGTTGCTTTGCGCTGCCCCCGCCGCTAGCCCATCGTTGTACACAAACCAACATCGCTATACATGAACGGACGAATGGGTTAGGAAAAAGCCCGGGCTGCCGCTGCCGCTGCAAGCTGGCGTCGCACGCTCTTGCTCGCGCTGGCCGTGACCATTCATAACATCCCGGAAGGCTTGGCTGTTGGCGTGGGTTTTGGCAGCGTTGGCGCCTCGGCCTCGGCAACGTTTGCCAATGCCTGCAATCTGGCGCTTGGCATCGGCATTCAGGTTTGAGCGCAAATAAATACCATAGCTGACCCCTCTTTTTGCAGGCCAAGCGCGACCAGCTCTCGTGGCTTTTTTTTTTTTTTTCTTCTTCTTCTTTCTTCTTTTCCGACTTGACCGAGAACGACTAGCTATTGGAATGCTCACGCTGTGATTGTACGCCTGGGCTGCCAGAATTTTCCCGAGGGCTTGGCCATTAGCCTTCCCCTTCATCGCGCGGGTTTTTCCAAATGGGACTCTTTCTGGTTGGCTCGGCCCGACGGCTGCAATCCTCGCACCGTCACCACCACGCCAAGATCTCAGCTCGAATCATGACCCGCCCTTTGCTTTGCCATATAGGTATGGGCAAATGAGCGGCATGGTTGAGCCCGTGGCCGGCGTGCTCGGGGCAGCAGCCGTCCAGCTGTTTACGCCCATTTTGCCCTATGCCCTCGCTTTTGCCGCCGGTGCCATGGTTTGTCGTGCTTCCGCCACATGCTTGTCCAACGAGGCTTTTTTTGTTTCTGTTTTTCTCGGCATGATGCGTCGGTCAAGTGTGTACGTGCATCGGCCTTGGTTGACCGATGGCCCATTTGTCTCTGGCAGATCTATGTTGTGCTGGACGATATCATTCCTGAAATCTGCAACGGGTGTGACACCTTGGCCCTTGACCCGTTGTCGCTGCTGAATGGCCGCCAACGCGTGCTCACGTATCACACTATCGTTGCTGCCCAGGTCACACCGCACTGCAGCCAACATGGGCGCGGTTGTTGGTTTCGTCGTCATGATGTGCTTGGACGTTGGTCTGGGTTGATAAAGCCAAACTTTGCGACAAAGCCATTTGCACATGGTCATCTTTCCCGCATGCCAAGCCAACGAGGCGTCGTCGTCAAGAGCAGTCTGCGTTCATGAGCTCGTTCACAAGCTCATGCACAGCACACGCTGCGCGCCGATTCGCCCGAGTTACCCTTTTTGATGGATGTCCTTGCGCCCTTTGGCCAGTTGAGCAATTCTTACACAATTGTGGTATCATGATGATCAAGGGTGAGACCAAGGCTGCAGCTGCAGTGTGTAATGATGATGCCAAGGCATGCTGATAAAGTATTTTATGGTACCCACTGCAAGCACAAGTCACCCATGGCCAAGCCAATTTCGTGTTGAATATAAAAGTATTTTACTTTGTCATTCAGCGCACATGCCTCAGCGTTTATTTTTTTACGCACAAACGTGTGTTGTTGTGGAGCCCTGGGCTGGTTGCCCCCTGAGCAAGAGGGAAAAAGAGACGGAGGCAGACTGGGGAGGGTTGGAGAGACGGGTTGCGCGCTGGGTTTTGGCGGGCTGATGTGGATTCATCTCACCTTGGCGTCATTTTTTTTTACGTTCAAATTCAGGACTCGCAGCCAACACAACAAGTTTCGGTCCACACCCAGGTTGGTCAGTTCGCGACGGGGGGGGGGGACTTGTCAAGTCTGCATTTTCTTCTGGCTCGACAGTGATTGACTCGCGCGTGTGTGGCCTCAACTTTCAGGCATGACTTCAATCAAGCAGAACCATGGCGAGGGCCTCGTCCTTAGTGAACAAGAGGTGGAGCAGTACCTTCACAAGGGCATTACCTACTTTGGTAACCGCGTCTGCCCCTTTGCCCACCGTGCCTGGTGGACGGCCAATGAGGTAAAGATTGTGTTGACTTTCGAGTAACCCCGGTCTCTTCTGCTGTGTTCCAAGTGCATGTTTTGGTGCCCTCCTGTCCATGTCTGTCTGTCTGTCTGTCTGTTCGTCTGTCTGTCTGTCTGTCTGTCTATCTGTGTATCTTGTCCAGCTGTCTGTCCCTCTATCCCTCTGTCCCTGTCTGTCTACCTGTGCATGCATACTCACGTTCAACATTTTTTTTTTTTTGGTGCGGTGTGGTGCGTAACAGACGGGCTTTGCGGACCGCATGACCTACGTCCACATTGAGCTGATGGATAACAAGCCTGCCTGGTATCAGGCCAAGGTCAACCCATCCGGCACCGTCCCTATGCTTGTAGTGGATGGTGTGCCCATCTTTGAATCCTTGATTGTTGCCAACTACATGAACAATGCTGCCGGTGGCTCCCTCTGGCCTACCGACCCTCTCAAGAAGAGCCACGTCGAGGCCATCATTGCCAAGTTTGATAGCAAGTGCACCGGTGCCCTTTATCAGGTTGGCCTCCGACGCCCTGGTTATGCGTCACACGGCGATCATCTGACGGTTCTTGACGCTCACAATTTCTATCTTGGCACAATGCTACATGTGTTCCGAGTCTAGGTCGTGCGCAACCGTGATCCCAGCAAGGTAAAGACACAGACCTCAACCCTAACCCTCATGGCTGTGCCGGCTGCAGTGGTGCGTTGCCTCATCTCCGGTCGGTGTCCATGACGCAGGATGCGGAGCTCAAAGCCTCCCTCAAGAGTGCCTACGAGGACCTGGAGGCTCTTTACACCCAGTTCAAGGCCGACCCGGCCAAGCCCTATCTCATGGGTGATGACTTGTCCATGGCCGAGATTGCCATGATGCCCTTCCTTGACCGGTACGACTCGCATCGTCCACGCACACGAGAGACAACCTCGATGCTTTTGAATCAAGGACGCGCCGTGTGCCACGGGGTTGACCCTTACCTCTTGACTTGCCGCCGTGCCTGTGTGGCGTAGCATGGTGCCGACCTTGGAGCATTACCGTAGCTTTAACCTATTCCGCGAGGCCCAAATTCCCAGTACGTTTGTTGCGGCGTTCTGTAGAGTGGTCGGATTGCGGTGGTGTGTGTGCCGTGGCCACTCATTGCCTTTTGCGCATCGCGTGCAGACCTGCAGCGCGCCTACGAAGTGGCCTCTGCTCGCCCGGCGTTTGTCAAGACGCGCTTCCCCGATGCCGTCAAGCTCATGAACGTGTACGCCAACGGCGTTCGTGCTGCGCCTCTGCCCCGTACGTCCACCTGCCTTGTATTGCATCAACCCCGGTGTCGCATTCACTTCTCGAAGCATGCCGGCCATGTCGTGACTCACGCTTTGATGGTTGCCTGGTTTTAGCCACCCTGATCCAGCGCGCAGCCCAGCGTGCGCCGATGCTGATTGCCGGCGGCCTCGTGGGCGCGGCCGCTGCCTTTGCCCTGTTGCGGGCCCGCTAAGCGCCGTTGTGATTAAGTGCATCAATTCAAAATCTCAAATCAGACACCAACAGTGTCGTGTCTGCATGAGAATACACATGTGAATCCCAAAGAGTCGCATAACTTTCCTGCAAGCTGTCACACCCCCCATTTGCTTGATGACTTTCTTTTTGAAAACCAAACAAGATACCTTTGACGCCCTCCTCCTTTCCTCCCTGCGCCGTCGACAGGAAGCATGGCCTCGAAGCAGTTGTGCATGGTTGCGCCATGAACCACCTCATTCTATTAATTTCTCCTCCCCTTTTGCTATGGCTTTTTTTGACCAACGTGCTCAAAGCCCCTCTCTCTCTTACTCTAGTAAGCTCTAAGTAAGCCTCTCTATCTCTCTCTAAATCTCTTTCTCTTTCTCTCAAATTTCTCTCTCTCTCTAAATCTCTCTCTCTCTCTCTCTAAATCTCTCTCTAAATCTCTCTCTAAATCTCTCTCTCTCTCTCTCTCTCTCTCTCTCTCTCTCTCTCTCTCTTTCTCTGTC